ACTCAACTTTTAATTGAAGTATTTTCTGGTGTGAAACAGAATACAAATCAACTGAATCCTGAATGAATGAACACATAGTTAGCGCAGGATAATGACGGGATAAGTAATGGGTCTGAAAATGAAGAGGCTGGATTTCTCACACAGACGGTGTTCTGTTTTATCCGCAGCTCTGGCAGAAGTCCTGGGCTCGAAAGTGTGTCTCTCTCGAGACAAATACAACACCATGTGCTGTCTGGAGTCGGAGCAGGTTAGACAACATATAACCACTGACTGGAAGGCGGCACAGGTCCACGTGCTACCCATGATGCAACTCAACTTCAATGTAGGTGCAGCGGCCTCTTTTTTTTTCCCGTCAACAAATGTCTTTTTTGAGAGTATATTTAGGAAACAAAGTATATATTTAGCTTATTTAAGTATATTTGTATTTGACTCTTATTTTTATTCTGCACATGGTTAATTCATAAGCAGTTAGGTCAGGGGATGCAATTATTAGGATTTGCTTATTGTGTTGGCGAAGCACAAAATTTCCCTCGAGGGACTAAAGCATTAAATTCTCCATCTGTATAATCCCAGATAAACACGGAAGTTGGTTTGTTTTTTAAGCATCACTTGAAACAGAGAGGCTGACCGGATGATAATTTAGACTGTTTAGGTTTTGAATTAAGAGCTTTGTTTTTGGGTCTTTCTGCAAAGAAAGCTTTGATAACGTGTACAGTCACCTGTAAACAAGAGTGCTATCAATATTTATTTTGGGAGTTCAATGAACACATTGAGCTGCTTGATTTGGTAGCAGCAGTGTGTAATCATGATAAATGTTACTTCAATTCCTTCCTAAAATTTGACAAACTGTAAGTTAATTTGTAATTTCTCCCTGTTGCCTTCATCTCGTCTCCAGAAACTGCGGGATTACCTGGCCCGCTTTTCTTCACTGTACGATCAGCTGGTGGCCTTCAAGCCCACAGGTTGGACCTTCAGCAAGCAGGTGGACTCGGTGGAAGATATTCAGCCTGAGATCAGCGGCAACATCTCTATCTACGGTACAAAATCATCCTTCTTCAATTACATGTAAAGTGTCCCCTTACCAAACACTGCAAACACTTGATCACAAGAGCAGCATCTTTCTCCTAACAAAAAGTTGACTGTTAATCTCATTGTTGTACGAGCCTGCAGTGCCCTCTATTGGCAGATATAGTCGATGTTTAGTAGTCTATCATATGGCAGTGGAACATGACGGGGTTGTGTCATGCTCTTCCCTGACTCGCTCCTTATATTGTTCTCAGCACGTGGCAGCATTGATGCTGAATTAAGGATCTCAGCTAGATCTGAATAAAGACCAAAAGATGTCTCTGATTTTCTACTTGGGGGGGGGGGAGACGAGCTGTAATATCTGAGTGGGTTAGCTCCAGTCTTTGTTGTTAGACTTCGCCCTTGTCTGATTGATTCTCTCATGCTTTATAGACAGATGGCTTCTTTCCTCCTGTTATTTCAAATCAGCTCTGTTCTCACTGCCTGATGATCCTTAAAAGTGAAAGTAGAAAGAAGAAAAAAAAATTGAAGGAATGAGCGACAAAAAATAAAGCTGCTTGAGAAAATCAAAAGTTCACATTTTCATTCATGCTTATCAGTCTTTTCAGTATGGTTAAACAGAAGCCTACATTTTAAGGCCACCTCTCTGTCGTCCTAACAGGAATCCCGTACAGTGAACACAGCGGCTTCTGGAGTTGAAACGTTTTGTCCAGTGGCTTCAGCCCCTCAAGATCATCCCGACCGTCAACGTGGGCAGCTGGGCGAGCAGGAAGGCCATGGAGAGGTGCTTCAGTGAGTGGCTGACGGAAACTAAAGCTAACCTTTGACTTTTACACACAAAACCTCAAGATCACCTCTAAATACTTGAAATGCTGCTACATATGAACACTACTTTTTTTTTTACCTCTTTGATTGAAGAAGCTTGCTTTAAAATATGGAGCAATCTGTTATGATGAAGCAGGTGAACATGAAATACATCCAGTGTTATTATGAAAGGTTATATACATGCTGTGATCCACTTCATTATAAAGGTTTTTCATGAACCATTAGACCAGGGTCATCAAAGTATCACACATACTGTGGGAGCTGATGTGTCACTGCCTGTTGTACTTCCAATAAGTGCTGCTTAAAACTGTGCAAATTCCTAATTATCTGTAAAGTATTTTAAATGTAAATAAATGTTTAAAACATTATTTTAACACATCTCCCACTTTGTCTTTGTCTGCAACATTAACCTGTTCATGTCAAGAAAAACCCTGATGTATTATAAAGTTAGCACGATATGAACAGAGGAAGATGGTGAATGGTATTTCAAAAGCCTTATGTGGACATTCATACCTTGTATATTTACACTGTTTTTCATAAAACTGAGTAATTTCGTTATTGTTTTATTTCAGATTCAGACTTATTTGTCACAAGATAACAAGCTAATTCTACCATTTAAACTGATTTATTTATCTCATAAGCGGCAAGATAACAACACTAGTTCTCTCATGATAACGGGATCATTTTCTGGACATATGCTGGTCACTCTAATAGACCAGACCCCGACATGCCACGCTGCCATTACCCACACTAATGAGGTGAGTTAGGCCTTTTTCTGCTTGTTTTGTGCTTTTGCAGATTTAGGGATATGAGAGAAATTCAAGGTCTTGAGAAAAAAAACAAGAAATGACTCTTCACGGGGGAAAGAGTAAATGGAATGTTTAGATGTATGTCTGCTTAGGACCCCTTAAGGTACAGACACAAATGTAGATTGATTTTCTTTTATTAAGAGGAGATGAGGATCAAGGTGAGCTTCAGAGAGAGAGATATGTGAACACAAAGACATACTGTATATAACTTTATAGCTATGTGTGTGCTTGTGTGTATATATCTTCAGATTTTAAAGAGAGATGAGATCAGCTGAGCTTTATAGATAAATAAATATAGAGAAGGTGGGAAAGCGGGCAGAGAGAGAGAGAGAGAGAGAGAGACGTACGGAAAGAGATGAAATTCAATATTAGCATATTCTTCTTTAAAAATGTAAAAACGTAGAACTTAGTGGAACTCAGGGTTATAATATCAGCAATTGAAGATGACACCTCCGCCATTCTAATCTTTTATATTGATGAATGAGTAAGAAAAACACTGAACTCTCCTCAGGCAGTTTAAAGAAGTAAGAATCACTGTTCTGTGGTGGCTCTAAAAAGGTTAAAGTGTCGCTGTCGGATCCGTCAGCGGTTTATCTCTGAGGCAGCAGAGACTGAGCTCTCTGAATCTTTATCTCTGTGGAACTGGCTTTTTCACAGAGACACAGCTTGATCTCTTCTTTTATGTAGAACGACTTCAGCTTATCCCATCTGCCTGAGCAGCGTGTTCTCACTCAGAGGCCAGAGGGAGCAGGATGTTTGTGATACAATCTAAGTCTACACATTGAAAATGTTTTTTTTTTCTGTAGAATCCAGCAATATATATATGCCAGGGTGTGCAGCCACTGCAGTACAAGTTGTACAATGTCATTTCCTTTTTATTTGCTCTTCATACAGTATATGTAAACCTGCAGCCTGGCCTAAAATTCCATCACACTTACTTCATTTTTACCACAGAGTGTAAATGATTAGTTTTCCCCTTGAAGTTTCTGTTTTGAAACCATCTCCCGGCATGCAGATGTCATTATCACACACTCGACTATCTATGACTGTGTGTGTGCCCACAGACATGTCTGTTCCAGGGAGTCACTTCTAATAATAACACCATGATGTATTTTTCCCTCTGGCATTAACGGTATATTGATTAACTCTTGGAAGAAGAAATTGGATAGACTAAATTATCTTTTTAATTCAATCAGTGGGCTGGTCTTATTGCTGCCTCATTTTGGGATTTTAATGTAAAAAAAATATGCATCTTTACCTTATTTTGATACCTCCGTCTGAGAGGAGTTTTTTTTAACAGGATGAGATGTAAACTACTGCCTTTCCATGACCTAATATGTCAGCTCAGTTGGTAGAGTCGTTGCTTCTCAAGCAGAAGGTCAAGGGTTCAATCCCCAGCTGAGCAACATGCATCTGATGTGTGCCAAGACACTTAACCCCACATTGCTCCCGCTGCTTCAGTGGTGGTGTATGAATGGATTAGTACTTACTCTCTGATGTATGTTGCTTTGGATAAAAATGTCTGCTAAGCGAATTGTAACAACACACGAGACCATCAGGGAGAAGATTGAGTAGTTACTTTATACGCCTGTCATCCTGGGGGCGGCTGTGGCTCAGTTGGTAGAGTCGGTTGTCTATCAGATGGAAGGTCGGGGGATTCTGCAGCCCCTGCAGCCACATGTCAAATTAGTCCTTAACCTCAAATTGCTGTCGCCGCTTTGTCTGCTCAGTGTGAATGTATATGAATGGATTATTTAATACTGATGGATGCTGCTTCTTGTGTGAGTCTTTCTCTATTTTTTACACAGCAGCGTCTGCCATCAGTGTGTGAATGGGTAGGTGGGACCTGCGGTGTAAAAGCGCTTTGTGTAGTTATAAGACTAGAAAAGCTAAACAAGCTAGTCCATTAACCATTTCCTTGCCGCAGGGTAGGCATTGGACAAGGGGATTAACTGTAGGCTGCAGACAGCCTTTTTTATTCTACACACCAAAGAATTATACTGAGTTGCATGTCAGACATTTAAAAAAGAAGGGGGAAAAAGAAAATGTTTTTTGGGTCAGAAAACACCACAACACACGTACAGGAGAAGATAAGCAAATATATGCATCATCCTTCTGTGTCCACATGAGGCACCAAAATCAACACAACCTGAAAGTTCCTCATTGGAGTTTACACACAAAAAAGTTACAATTCTGGTTCAAAGTTTGAATGAAGATTCAAATAAATAATGTAGTTTATTTGTCTGTCCAAGAATTAACATGTCGAGGAAACAGTGTTTTTTTTATCAATCTTGCATAGTTTATTTTTAAGTATGTTACACATCAAACACAGATTTCCCCCAGTACAATCATCATCTGCAGCCTTGTAAAGGATTGCATTACATTACAATAAAGTGCATTTATAATACAGCACAGCTTGAGCATCACAGTTAAAGTACAGCCTCAAAGACTAAACATCCGGAATAATTGCCTTGTCAGAACTCATATCTGATCCATACAGCAGCTCCATTAAAACTTGAAACAAAAAGCTTTGCGCGGCTGATACAGTGTCGTGGGAAAAAAAACCCATGTGGGTATTAACAAATGAAGATTAAATTATTTGATGTTAAGTTTAGAGACCAGCTTTATCCCTGCCCTCTGAGGACACTGGTCTTTGGCATGATTTCAAAAATGGTGATTGGTTTGTAGCACTTGAATTGAGGAGTCCTTGGAGAGGAGCCAATTGGGCGTTTTCTTTATCTGGGAGAGGCTCTGTGCAACTGACCTAATTTTTAAAAAGGATGAAAAGTAATTTTCCGACTTGAATTAGAGCTACATTTCAGCAAATTGTCCTCGGCTGTCTCAGTCACTGTTTCTGTTTGGAATCAGAGAGGAACAGGTGAAACACAGCCCGAGGTGAAACACCGTTCTGTCGGCATATTAATTCACCAGACTGTCCCTGAGCAGTGGATGACATGACAGACTGCTGTTTTTCCTAAATCTTTTATTTTTTATTTGTCGTCTCCTGAAGCACTTATCAGATAAATAATGAATCAAACTTCAATTTTGGATGTATCAGAGAAGTAACTAGTAGCATGTGTTTAAGCGAGACACTGGAGCAACGTGTGCTCGTCTCTTTGTCTTCTCATCAGAGGGCACGGCTTAGAAAGAAGTGGTATCACAGGTGCAGCATACCAGGCCGACTGGAAATGAATCATCACCGCAGGCATTCACACTTTGTCATGAATCTGTTACTGCTTAAGTCGCATTCTTAGGAAATCAATTAGACTTTGAAAATTCATCAAAAACACACTTAATGTCTTCATTGGGATCAAAAATGAAGATTTTGGGCGCTACGTTTTCTTCCCTTTCGTCATCGTTTTTTATTTTCTAAAACCCATTTGTACTCTTCTGCTCGACGTCAACGGTTAGTTGTGAAATTTTTTCTTTTTTTAAAGTGTTCTTACTGAAGTCACAATTGGGATTCTGCAAGAAAAGCTGCAACCCGTATCCAGAATCACCAGAAATCTTGGCTGTGTTTACACTCTGAACCACGTAAAACAACACTTTTAGTTGCTTCTGCTGTATTTTACAGTGTATGTCGAAAAAAAGTGTCAAAATAACAACAGTTTTGTGTAACAAAATATTTTGTATTGAGTTGGTGTTAGGCACAAGGCACAACACGCCTTGTTTAATTTCTCCTTCATCTTGTGAATCAGAACTGTTGTCCTGTGAACGTTTTTTGTGTCGTTTGGGGAAACATGACTAAGTACCCTCAGCCTTTCGTTTCATTCCAGTCACAGCGTTTGAGTACAATGAGCCTCTATCTACATGACATATACACAATGAACTTAAGAGTACTTATCGGTAACAGCATTTGCATTCTCTACTTCTGCTTAAAGTCGTTATTTGGAACAAAGGAATTTGTTACGTAAATACACCTGATCTTCTTAGATATTATGTGTGTGAGATTTGTTTCAATAACCTTCATTTTATCTGCTTCATTCACTTTAAACTCTTCTAGACTTATGTACAGAGTAAACTAGGTTGAACTTAACTATGACAGGTTAAAGGAAGAATGAGCAACATTTTTACACATACAGTAAATATAGTATATCCTCTATAAATGTCTCTCTGAGTCATGACTGTACAATGAGAGAGAAGCGTGAGTACCGTCAGCTGTACTGTGGCTGGAGCCGTGTTTACATCATGTTTACAGGGACAGGACGGCCTTGTGTATAAAGCTGTTTAAGTCAAGGAGTAGAGAAAAGAAGAATTACATATAAGTGTCTTTAGATCACGGTCATTCAGTGTCAGTGTATGTGCAATATAGCTATGAGTTAACCAAAGTGTGCTGACATTAGCCTGCGAAGGCTTCAGAATAGCGGAGGTGTTCCCAAACCGCAGTTTGTTTTCGTTTAATGCTGGTGCTCAAGGGCGAAATCTACTGGATCAAAAAGTGGCACATTTTGAGAAGAGTTTCAAAGAGAGCTCGTCACTTCTCCATAAAACACAGTCCGTTGTCTGAAGCGGTCAAAACTTTGTCCAACCAAGTATTTTCTTTAAAAGGGAGGTCCCTTTAAGTCATTTAAACACACAAAGACGTAGAGTGGAAGGGATTGTTTCGTCTCTAGAAATTGGTGGGTTGTCAGTCAATGCAGGGAATGTTTGGCGAGTGCAGAGGGAGACATCCAGGAAGACGAAGGATGGTCACTTTCACCTGAAAGAGAAATCATTTACCTCTCAGATGAGCTGTTAATACACTCATCGGTGCGTCCCAAAAGCAGTACCCTGTTGTTTTGTTTTGTGTGTGAACTTTGTACCTCACTCTTGAGAGACTTGCTGAGGAACATGTTGAACTCGTCCACGCTGCAGGTGTGCAGGTCATTGATGGCCAGGATCTGGTCTTCTTTGTGAAACAGACACACAGACTGCGGCTGGCCTGTCCAACCTGACACACTGTAACACACACAGACACAACAGTTTTACCTTCAGGATACAAACTGTTGCTCTCACATAGACAACAAGAGTTTGACCTGTTGTCACCTTGAAGTATGGATGTGAACGCCTACAAGGAATGATGTGTTAAATCAGAAGCAGTTGGACCAGAAGGGAGGCTTTTTCAAACTTTACACTTTGAAGGGAGAAAACGTTATCAGTTCCACTGGTGAAAGATGGACTGTGAAATGTCGCAATCAAGTTTTTATTTTGACTTTCACTTTTCACGTTCAGATTCAGATGATAAGGCGTAGAGTTGAAAATAAGATGACAGAAATGTCTCCAATTCTCCACTTACTTATAGTAACTTATAGTGTTCCCACTCAAGCTGTCAAGCTGTCCCCTTTTTTTAAATTCATAGCTGTAGTAACTGATATTTTTTTCAAAAATGGAAATTCACAAATGTGTTGCCACGATCAGAAGATAACTACTGTATTGTTTACTGCAGTTTGTTTGAAATCTTGTTTACACAAAACGTTTTGAAAACTATGTTGTTTATGTTGGTCCTCACACGCATGAAGGGACAGATACGCTTCTTTTTCAATGGGCCGTATACTGTCTACAAAGGTTGTCTTGTGGCTCACTTTTTAGTCTACATCTCTGTATTATTATAATACTATGCTGTGTAAAGACTGATTGTGGGCTGAAGTTGCTTCTACATTGATTATATGCTGCCAGTTAGACACAGTGTGAAGCTGCAACGTTTAATAGCAGCTCAGAGGAAATAACAGTTCATGATACTTAGTGAGTATTTAGTAAGTAAAGTACTGTAAGCTCAGAAGAGCAAAGACTGAGATGAGAACAAAGACATGTGAGTTTCTGATAACCAAGCCTGACTTTGGGAAAAGCCTTTATTTCAAATTATTTTTTCTCTCCATCTCAAAAGAAGAAATCTTTTGGCAATTAAACCGATAGATTTAAATCGCAGTGGATATTTTTCTTTGGAGGATGTGTCAGGAAATCCACACCACGAGCTAAATGCTCTGAATCGTTCACCACTAATGAAAACCGCGAACAACAAAGGACCATGTCAAAAAGTATTCCCTGTTAATAACGGGTTTTTTTTAAACAATGGGAATCTGTGATTTAATCGAGGAGGACAAGCCTGCAGTACAAACAAACGGCTGTGATATGGCAAACACATCTTAGACTATTTTTAGACTCCAACCACAACAGTGTTCGCGGTCTAGTTCCATAACTTCAAACCTACCTTGGTTTTCCGTCCACTTCTGTTAGCGTCAGGTGTTTTTTCAAATCCGCCACCTTCATCTCAAATTCTCTCTCCTCCGGGGTGATGGTGTCGAGGCTGAAAGAGAAGAACAACCACAGCTTTAAATTGTGGTTTGTATTTTTGACCTTTTGAACTCTTGACACTTGACATTCACGTCTATCCAAGTGGTTTACGCTAAAGACTTAAATAAATGTCCCTGAGGGTTTCCTGCAGATTCCTCCATAACTGTTTAGGATGCATTTTTTATTTCAGTTAAAACATTAACCATTGAACAACTTGTTTAAATTCTTGTCGCAAATGTACCTGAGTTGCTGCTGTTGATTATATATCATGCTCATTATTCAATTGTTATTAAACTGCCTGCAGAAAAAACCTTTCTAACCAGTCCTGCAACATGTCAGTGTTGATGCCAGCATTCTTCTCAGGTTATTTATTTAACTGCGTCACTCTAAATCTGTCATCTCTTCTTTTTTTAAATCTGTGGGATCCATGGCTGTTTCTGACAGGCTCAGATAGCTCCTCAGGGGGAATTTAAATGTCTTCTTGTGCTGTTAAACTAGAGCACAAACACCAACATCAATGATACCACACCAAAAAAAATCTATCTACTAGTGTATTCAGTTTTTATGTTGTGTGGGGGTCAACTCTCTCACCTTTCAGTTGAGCTTTGTTTATACAGTCTGTTTAAATGAGGCTTCTCCATCATCTCTACAGGAGACATGGCCCCGTTTTCACTGGAGCTGCTGCTGAAGTCTGAAGTGAGACGACCTCTGCAGAAAAAAAGGAAGAAACAGCACAAGATAATTCAACATTGTAAGTATTCTTAGATTGCTTTTGACAGATGAGACAGCTTCAAAAGACCTTCTAACAGAAGGAGCAAAGCAAGGGAAGAACACCATCTGAATCTGCATGCACAGCGGAGAGGCTGACTCACAGACAGACGGCATAACAACAGATTTTAAGTGCAGCATTATAAGCTCTGAATAGACCACATTTGACCTTGTGGGGGAAAAAAAACCTACACGATAATGTTTGATATAGAGTCAAAGAGCATGGAACAGTAAAAAAAAAGAAAAGAAAAAGAAAGTTATCAAAAATACAGGAACTGTGGCATTTTTTTTTTTTTTTTTTTTAAGAAAAAGTTGATAAAAGTTGGATGGGATACGCTAATTATTCTCAAATCACAGCACTTTAGAAGTTATTCTACTAACCCATATGGCAAATGTGCTTGAGAAGATAATGTCATAGTAGTAAATCACTTAGAAAGAAATAAGACCTTGCTAAAGTAAAATTATTGCACATTTTTAATTTATAAAGTTAACGTTGGAAAACAATGGGCAGCAAATAGAGTATTTATAGGCAGGGCATGATCGTAAAAAAACAACTGGAAAAGGCCAATACAAAACGCAGGTTAATAGGTATTGCCCGCTGTAGCCTATGAGCGATTCGAATAATGCTGTTTTGAAACAAGGAAGACAATCTTGACACATCTTTCCCGCCCTGAAAGAGGAAGCAAAAGGTAGCATTACAGCCTTGCTACTTTGACATTCTAACATGGAGAAAAACATTTTAGAATATCAAACAAGAAATCTCACAAAACATAGTTAGCCATCAATTTGCATGAGATAAGACAAAAAAAAATGTTCCGCTTCATTCAAATGTATCAGGCATGTGTGCAGCATTGTTTTCAATGCCCCAACCTGAAAGGTAGACAATGTCTTCTCCGTTTAGGAGGAAACAAGACATTTTCCTGTTCCAGTAATAAAGGTTATTCATAAGGTATTTCACACACCCTTTGTCAAGTCTGGACACGCAGGTGCTTTCCAGTTGCAACCTAGCTTGGTCTGGTAACCGTCGGGTAATGTTAGAAGGCAGGTCTTGTTTGCGACTAATGTTTGCTGCCAGTTGCACTTAATTTTCCAGTCCTACTAAAACATTATCCACAAGAAAATGAAAGTAAAAAAATATGAAGATGGTTGGCACATTATTTTAGACAAACCTTAAAGAACAATTTTTACATATGTATTTTTCAGATTTAACTGAAATTTGATTATTATACGACTAATCAGTCTCGAAAGTAAGTTTTGTGTTGATTCAATAAAACACTCTCTTTGTCAAGTCACGACATGCAGGTTGCTTTCCAGTCAGAGACTTACTTTGTCATGTATGACCATAGACTGTATGCTTATTATGATGGCTACTGTGAGCAAACATTAGCTAACAGTGGCTAATGTTTTCAACCAGGTGCACCATTTCACCTGACTTCAGTTTACAGTATGTAGAAAAAAAAATCAAATTATTATCAGTTATAATAAAACACACGCCTTTCAGCTACAGCCTAACTTATCCAGTATGACCACTACTAGCTTATGGTGGCCATTGTTAGCAAACATGGCTCACATTAGCTTATAGCAACTTTTTTGGCCAGTCTAATAAAGGTGGACTTTTAGGAGTATAACCGAATGCATTTCCAAAGCAGAGTTGTGTACAAATCTATGGTGCCATCTCATTCAAGTGCCATCGAGTCATAAGTTGCTAAGCAGGCTCTGAGGTGCTGCCTCTTTCAGAGTCCTGACGAGTCCTGAAGTGTCAACAGTTCTGTGCTGTAAAAATAACATGCTGAATTACACGCTTGTTTGTCTGAGTAGGTGTTTGAGCCAATGAGGTTGTGGTTACCTCTGATGAGCTATTTTGGTATCTAGGGCACTGACAAAACATGTTACACAAAGAGCAAAGCTCACTGACACCAAAGACAAAGTGGAAAGTCAAAAATACACAGGGAAAGAACCTGCCATTCATCAGAGAATTACCTGTCTTCAAAGGGCGACTCCTCATCGAACGTAGGGAGCGGTGAAATCTGGGTCTTCAGCTTGTCAAAGACCTGAGTGACGGACCTCATCAGGGTGCCTCTCGTGACCTCTTCAACTTCACGGTCACTAGAACAGACCAGAAAATGATTTCAGCTTTAACAATTATTTTTTATTATGAGGAAAGACGTATTTTCCCCTCTAGCTTTAGAAATCTAACTTACGCTGCTTGGGCAAGTTTAACTTCCACCATTGTTTCATATCTATAGAAAGAGATAAACAGACATTACAAATACATATATTACATTTTATAGAACTCAAGGATACAATTACAGGATTTCCCACTTGAACAAAATGTACATGATTAATATGTAAACTACTTTTAAAGGAATGGATAAATATCTATTTTTGGTTAAATATCAGATTCATTTGTAGGCTATATACACAAATATAAATACTCACACTGCCTCTGATTTGCCAACGGTCCCGCCATTTTCCACACCCTTTTTTTTTTTCATTTTATTTACAAATTTCAAAAAGAGAAAAAACAAATATAACTCTTAGTAGATTATGTGTATCACAATTTAACTCTAACTTTAAAGGACATTTATGATCTTTCTTTGACATTCTACTAACAAACATTTGTTGCTTAATCAAGAGATTATGTGGCTCATTTATTAATACTGAAATGGTCGTTTCCCTACTTCTTGTTGTTGTTTGAAGAAAGATTTGGGATAGTCGTAGATTGGATTTACTGGCGCTGATCGTCTTCTGGCGTAGTGTTCACCCTTCTGATGATCAGAAAGTGATATAATTTAGAGCATGAGACCTCATTCATAATTTGACCCACTACTACCTTTAAAGCAACATTGTAGTGAAACATCAATTTGAAAGTGACACCATAAAAAAACGTTTTTAGAAAGATTTGTACCTTTGCTTTTTCTGTCTCTCCATCCATAAAATGTGAGGGTGGATCAGATTTGGATCGTATTTTTAACTCTTGCTGAAATATAAACAAACACCCAAACATTAAAATATCTAAATAAAATCTGTTCGATAAGTCAAATCTTTTTTTCTTTGATATTATTCTGCACATCAACAAGTTCTGAACAGTGTCAGCCCACTGAAAATATGCAGCATTAACGCTGCATTTATGTCAATAATCCCATAGTCCCTCAGGTTTAATAATGATGTCTGTTTAGTTTTTTAGTTTAAAATAAAACAGTAAATGTGACTGTTTTAGAAATATTAGCCAGATTAATGAAAGGATTTCACAAACCTGATCAGGCACAGCGCTGAAACTCTTTCTCCGTGCAATGGGTTTTGAAATATTCTGGTAAAAGATGAAGAGAGAAGTTCTATAAAGAACTACACACAGAGTGAATGAAATGAGGTACAGGGATAACGAAGGGTTAATCCGAATCCCTGGGGTTTGTCTGTAATTATTTATTTTAGTATATTTCTTTGTGGGTTTTGTTATAAATGCTATTGGTGATGGTATATTGTAAATAGTTATATTCTGGTGATGGGAATATTAATATATGTGTGTAATTAGATAATGGTATTTAAGTAATTATTTGTATGTAAAATAATGTTATATTATTATGTAATAATAACAATTAAATGAAGTAAAAAGGGGTAGGATTAAATCAGTTCGAACTTCTTCCTCCTCCTTTTCAGGCATGTAAGAGCCAATGAGCTAATTTTCGGTTTTGTTTGTTTGTTTTTTACATGTTTGAAATGAAGAAATCGATATAAAGAAAGGAATGAATCAAAAATAAAATAAATGTGGTTAACAGACAGATAATGTTGTGTGAAGTTAATGCTTGTTTTCTAAGAACTCTGAAGACATTTACAGTAAGCCTTTTAAATTGTGTGAAATTGGAGAGGAACACAGCAGGACATTTAGTAATATGAAAGACAAAAGTTAATGTTAATTTGTAGCTATAGCCAGCAGTTTGTTAGCTAAGCTTAGTTTAGTTTAGTTTAGCAAAATGAGGGACAGCAGGGGGGAGGCACTCTAAATTCAAAGATTTCAAAAATCTGACAACTTACATATAATAACTTATTTCCTTTTAATCAGTAAATGTTGGTATTTATTACTAGCAGGATTAAACTGCTACCAAACTAGTCCTTGATATGGTCCCCAGTAAAACCACTACATGTCCTTCTTTTCTTTTTTTTAACAAATTAAAAAAACTGATTGTTCCCCCTGCTTCCATTGTTTAGACTAAACTAAGCTAAGCTAGCATGCTAGCATGGATCTTCTCAGCAAACTCTTGTCAAAAAGGTTTGTTATATTTTCTTAATAAGTTTACCTCAATGATGTTCTGCCCAACAGACAGGTCCTTAAACAACAACAAAAATATTATTAAAATATTATATTTAACTTTAACAAACTGTTTGGTCTCAACAAGCTGTTACACATGAAGAAAAATGACTGAAATGTAGATTCACCTCTGAACTGACAAATTTATGTGGTCGGTTTTTCAGGGCATCAAACAGGTCGGAGAACCAGCCGTCCACTTCCTCGCTTCAAATAAAAAGGTACACATGAAACAACACCTCATTTTTAGACACTTCAAATCATGGTTAAATATTCAATTTAATATTCAATTTAAAATCAATAACAAAAAAAACAAGTTAAGTGGAAATAAATGACATGTAGCAACAGTTTGAGGCAAGCAGAGGGAAAAGCAGAGTCATTATCAGCTAAACGACTATTACAAAACACATCATGAATAATACTTTCTACGTTTTCATTATAAAAACTCCCCAAATACAAGATAGAGTGGGAAAGTGTTTTCTGAGGGGCTGTGGAAGTGTCAGTGATTTGTTTTAACACATGCATCACTTACTTTAAGTGACTTCAATTCATGTTTCCATGTGAATTAAAAACAAAATATTATTTTGCTTGAGTAACATTTTTAGCAGTTTAACTGACTAATAATAAACTTTTATTATACTAGTAGGTATGAATGTTTTTTTAATGTTCTTTGAGCCTCGAACCAAAGGTCATTTTCTCTTCTCTATGTGATAGACAATAACGATTTTTGAACCCTTATTTGAATCATTTAATTTCAATCATTATTTCAAGATATCAAATAGATTAGGAAACAGCCTTTTAAATTACATTGATGGTTTTTGACGTTAGGAGTTTTTATAATACAGTGTAGTAAAATGCATTGAAGTGTGTAATGAAGCTTTAAATTCCTGCCTGTTAAAAAAAAACAACAACAATAAAATCTGACTGACCTGCACTCCCCGACCAGAAAGTAGTCCCGGTCTGCAACCCTGATGTAGAGCACACAGGACGGGGAGCACTTGAAACTCTTCTGCACCCATCCCCATCTCTGGTGGTTTTCAGGGTTCACATACAACAGGGAGATACTGACGTAGGGACACGAGAATATCAGTCAAATTTGGATCATCAAAAACCAAGCTGGTTTCGACTGCATTACTTGATTCGAGAGCTAAATACATGACATGGATGAACGACAGTGGATTTGACATGTCGTGTAGAAAACAGGCTCATAAGGACATGTTAGGGAACATACTGTGATAAATCGATCCCTCCAAGTGGTCGGTCCTTTTCTGTGGACTCCTGAAGTACTTGAGTTGATGTTCCTGTTCACTGATTTTGAACAACACAAAATATCTCCTCTTCCAAGACTTCTGCAGGAAAAACAAAACAAAAATAAATAAATTCAAAAACATACATTAGGAGCTGCAGAATATCCTTAAATAATCAAGTTTCTTTCACCTCAGCCTTTAACCGTTTTTGGGGAGGAGACTTGAACAGGTATCCCGATCTTATTTCTTTTGCGCCTCCAACTGGTCTGTAGAAAACCGCATTTCCCCCTGATAGCAAAAGAAAAGCCAATTATTTGTGTCGTTATTTTATTTGTTCTTTGCTTACAGAAATCTCCAAATTGTATGAAAAGCTGAAAGTATTGTTACAGAATGATAAAACAATGATAAAGTCATTCATTTTCCCCCAGCTTTTAACATGCATTACATCAGTGACATTGGCATATCCCAAACGGCCTTGTCAAATGTACAATCTGTCCTCTAAGCAACACCAGAACACAAGTGAAACCCCTTTAAGAACCAAATAAATCAGTGTTCAAAGGTGTGAAACATTACCAATGCCCTTCTGGTTCTTATGCATCGTGACACCGCACCTGAACAAAAATAACAGAAGAATCTATCAGTCTCTGTCTCTTCAGACACGATCCAAATATCCAGAAGGAAATAGTTAACCTTTTGAAACAAACAATGTAGGGTTTAAAAATAGCCTCATTCCTTTGTAAAAGCTGAGCATGAAATAGTGCTCTATTCATAAACAAAAGCTGTCTGAAGGTGAAGGTGTGAGTGAGTGGGTAAAATAATTTAAACTTTATGTTCCTGTTTAATTATTATTTTTTTCAATAAAAGCACCTCAGTAATGTTGAGTGTCCTTTTTAGCATGCACAAAGTTATTTTTTCTATGTCAGAGCCAAATATGTGTGAGCAAGTGAATGAACAAAAAAACCTAACATCACAGAAAATACTAATAATTACCATACACAACTCACTAAGTACTTTGCTTCTAAAAAGGTGAAACAATAAATCAAATAAAGACATATTCTTACTTGTGGATCACCTGTGGATAGATTCAGCTCACGTTGCTCTCTGTGACAATGAGTGTCTCTGCATGAGGAAGCTGCTTCTCGATCCTGGCAAACACTTACCAGATATTCATACCTAGAACTGGAGTTTCTGGTTCTTGGTTTCAAAAGCTTTTTAAAATCTCCCTGCTGTGTTGATTAGCCACAGAAATGCTGTGCCCAGAACCTTAAAGGAATTTTAGTTCTCTGGAAAGACACTGGGGAATTGTTCAGGCATTTCTCCTGATGTGTACAACATCATAATGTGAACTTTGAATTAAACATCAGAAAAGATACAGGTACCAATCAAGGTTAGGGAGGCTGAGGTGCAACAAGGTTTGATTTAAAAAAAAAGAGCACCACATTGATGAATTCTGGAGCTCAATGACAGCTTTTGACACGTACAGATTTATAGCTTGCAGTCTTATGAAATCAAATGAGTGTAGCTTATTATCAACAAGTTAAGGCAGGTTGTTTTAAAGAGGACAGGTCATTTTAGAATTTTGTGTTGTCATATTGTTGTACATGTATTCTAATGTATTCGCATACAGTGTTGTGTGGTGGGATCTAATGGGATAGAATGTGGTATATTTCATAAACGTGTTTGTTTACCCGAATGCCCAGCTAGGGACTTGAGTTGGAAATTAGCAATAGCTGTAAACTCTCTGTGCAGCACCTCAGTTTCATGCTTTGTATTGAAACAATGTTAAATTGCATTGTCCAAATAAAATAAATACATTCAAATTAAATTATCAATATGTACAATTACATGTAATGTCACATACAGTGGCTGCACCAACGTGCAGTGGTTCGCACTGTTGCCTCACAGTGAGTGACACGGCCTCTCCGTTCAGAGTTTGCATGTTCTCCCCGTGCATATGTGGTTTCCCTTGAGGTACTGCACCTTACTCCCACAGTCCAAAGACGTGATGTAAGTGTGAATGCGAGTGTGGCTGGTTGTCTGTCTCTAAGTGTCAGCCCTGTGATTGACTGGTGAACAGTCCAGGGTGTACCCCGCCTCTCGCCCAATGACCGCTGGGATGGGAACCAAAAGGAAAAACAGTATAGATAATGGATGGATCACAGCTATCTTAACGTTTCTCTAGCAATATAATTTCTTCAACCTTACATTATCACAAAGCAACAGTCAATGTTACTGCCATTACTAATACCAAGTTTATTTTTGTGCTTAACTTATCAGACTCCTATTGATTTTTATTAAGCACCCTTTCTTTACTTTGGTGTCTTATTGACCCTATAGCCTATATTTTACTTATATCCAATTCTCTGTTGTGTAGCTTACTCATTGCTGCAAAGCTATGACAGTGTATGACTTGTTATCCTATTTCTCTTTTAATAACATTAACTGTAAAGAGCAAGACATTTTCCAACAAAAAAGGGCTACACTGAAAAACAGCCAGTTTAATTTAGTTGTGAACAGATAAAAGCAAATTTTAAGGTTTATTACTTATGCATCATATCTCATAGGACAACACATCTTTGACATTATTTTATGTATTCAACTGTTTTGTGTCAAAACCCAAGCCTCTATGCATGAGGAGTTGAATTAATAATAAAAAACACTGCTTATCATTTACTATGACCTTATAAAGCAAATATGTATTGAATGTTTATAATGAACTTAAAATGGTTAAATAGAAAGTATTGAAGTGAAGTTCCATAGTGGAGTTCAAGGGTGAGGTTTAGTTGCAACATAAGAAGCTAACACATGCTTTGTAATAGACAGATTAACGTGTCTTGAATCAGTCGAAGTTGACAGGTCGCTCTCTTAAAGGGCAGTTTCAACCATCCCTCTTTCTGAAATGATTCTGCTAATGGGCACGTCAGTGAGATTTGTTGTGTCATGCTACTCTGACACGTGTCCTCCGATGAGTAATATGCAAGGGAAAACATGGCGGAGGAGATGGATCAGTTGAATTCTGAGGGAGTATTGACATTTTATATATTTGCCATGACGCGTGTGACTTAAGCTGACGCATGTAAAGGAGGAGAGTTTGTTGCCTTTGGTGCATTTGACAGCGACATGCTTGTAAATATGCACTGGTGATTTGTGCTATTGCATGTAAAAGGTTATAAGGGGTCACAGTTAGCACGCACTTTCTGAGAATATTTTATCTTTTCCATGAGGAACTAAAGCACCTTTAACGTCTCCTAAAAACGTCCTCAAAGGTGCATGTAGGTCAGAGGCACAAACATACCTCAAGGTCAGTGTCAGTTTAGTAGAAATAGAGCCATTTGTTCACTAGGACATTGTGCACATATTCCTCAACTCTGACAATTGTGCCAATCTGTTGCCCTTCTCTCTTTCTGAATGTTTCTGTCTTGTCTACAAAGTTTGGACTCATGTTCCCTCCTTGTTAATGAAAGGCATGTACTTGCAAGTGTACCCGTCCAGATATCACAAGGCCACCCCTCCCCCACAGCACAGCCTTCACACCTGTGACATGACTATAAAAGCCCTACTGGTCGTGTTGTCCTGTTTACTGGAGTTTAATCTGCACCACTGAGCTGAAATGAATAGTAAGGCAGGAGGGAAGGCCCCAAATGAAGTAAGCGCTTACACATTGGCTTCTTTAACACTATTGACCGTGCACCCTGAACTTTTGGTTCTTCTACCTTTATTTCATTATCTTTTTTTTTTTCCATGTACACGGCATGTGTGTTTTAAAGGAATCTCTTCTGAAACATCAGCAGCACCTGCAGAAACAGAGAGATGTAATCGCCTACAGGATGAAGAAACTGGCAGCTAAGCAGGTGGAGATAACAGTGAGTCTTTTGTATTGTTCTATTGAAGGTAGAGTCACAATACAGAACAAAAGGCTTTATGACAAATGCCATTTGTTAATCATTTCTTTTTTTTTTTGCATTCAGCCTGCAGGCTTATAGCCAACACCTGCAAAATAATCCGTGGGATTAGATGTTGGTGAAAAGTCTGAAATCATATGCAGACATAATTTTGTTGCAAGGCAGATTGTTTTCCATTAGTGTTGTTTCAAGTAACCTCGATGTTCTAAAACAACACAAGTATCATTCCTAAATCACAATGCATGCTGCTGAGTGACTGGTTTTTGCAGATTCTTACATTTCTTCCTTAAGTGCCTCATTGTCTTGATTTAACACACTACTGGTGGAATACAGAGCATGTCCTTGTGCTGCTATAGTAAATTTACCTCAAGGTTAAAATGTGTTATATGGGCTGCATGGTGGTGCAGTGGTCAACATTGCTGGCTCACAGCGAAAAAGTTCCTGGTTTGGACCCTCGTCGGAAAAATGTTAGCATGTTCTCTCCCCGCATGCGTGGGTTCTCTTAGGGTACTTCAGCTTTGTCCCAAGTTCCAAAGACATGCTCATTAGGTTAATTGGTGGCACTAAAATTGCATGTAAAGTGGGTGTGAAAGTTGAGTGTGTCTCTGTATGTCAGCCCTGTGATTGACTGTTGACCGCTCCAGGGTGTGCCCCGCCTCCCGCCCACTGACAGCTGGGACATGCCCCTGACATGTCCACTATTTAAATATGGTATGCATAACTGTAACAAACACTTTTTTTTTTTTTTTTTTTTTAACTCTCCATGCAATTCCATCGCAGAAAAAGACCAACGAGGTGAAGGAAAAAATCAAAAAAAAGTATGAGGACATGAAGCGGGTTCTGGATGATGATCTTCGGATCACTCTGACCCAGCTAGACACAGAGCATGAGGCCACAGAGAAGTTGGTGGAGGACAGGATAGAGGAGTGCTATCACCTCACTCAAGAACTGGACCAGGAAATGTCTGACGCGTTAGCCAAAATTAAAACACAAGAACTTGGTGTTCAGGTAAGCGAAACTTAAAGGTGTGATTTTGTGTAACGAATGAGGCAAAGTCATTTTTACTTTTTTTTTTCAACATGCTCTCACAATGGTATCAAGATCAGTAATGATGCCAATTATTTCAATCTTTTACAGAATGCTGAAAAAGACAAGAGGTGAGTTCACCTTTCAGAAAATAAGAGTTTGTCTCAAAAACCTGTGTGTAAGTAAAGAATAATCAGTTTTGATAGATCACATTATAGATCAAAGAATCTAAAGCGTGTATCCCATGTGGGCTTTTGATTTCAAGCCTCTCCCTTGGCTGCTTATCATCCCCTCTTTCTTTTCATCTCATGTCTCCCTTCAGCTTCCACATGAATAGGCAAAAACAGCCCAAAAAGAGCCACAAGATTAGTCAGTAATGCGTTAGAAGTAAACACCGGATGCCAACTATCGTGAAAAAATTGATTTGCTTTTTTTTTTTTGCAGGCAATGATGTCACACCATTGATTGTAATACTATAAAATTGGCTGCTTGTCTTTGTTATTTATGATAATTAGTGAAGAGTTTGGGGTTTTGGACAAAGGGAGCAATTTGAAGGCCTTGCTTTAGGCTGTGGGAAAGGTTTATGATCCGTTTTTGGACTTTGTCTGAACCTTAATGCATTAATCCTAAAAATAACCTGCACTAATTGAAAATGAAAATAATTTGCAGGATTTATTGTGCTCATCACTGAGTGTATCTACCAAAGATTTCCATTTTGAAAATTGATGAAAGTAGTAACAAATAAAAGTCTTTATTTGTCATAACATTTACAAAAAAAACTGATCTGATATATATCTGATATGTTCCAGGGTGAACTTGAATGAGTTTTTTCTTTGGATTTGTACAGTTGTGGTGTCTTTGACATGTGTTCTTATCTCTTAATGAGGAATTATCTCTGTTTTTTTCTAAAATTAGAATATTTGAGATTCTTAAGTTGACTGACCCTGACCTGATTCAGATGGACGAGTTCAAGAACGAACAACTCTTGAGTCTCACCATCAACCTGCTGCTGTTCATCAGGTCACAGGTCCCCGTCACCAAGAAGCTGTTTCAAAGCTGTGAGTTCTCTCAGACAGACAGGTAGATTGAAGAGTGAAGGAGTTTTGCTCCTAGCTATGTCAAAGGTTCTACAGTTACTGTCTTATTAGGATGTGCATCAAGCTTAGGAACTATCTTTTTTAAACAAGACACTACATTTTTGTGCTTTCTTTCACAGATGCTGCAGACGTTGTCCTTGATGCTGACACAGCTCACCCAAAGCTGATCATCTCCCCCCCAGGTGACTCAGTAACCTACACAGACACCTGGCAGGATGTCCCAGAAGCTGTGTCCCGCTTTGACACCACCCTGAATGTAATAAGCAAGCAGGGCTTCAGCGAGGGCCGCCAGTACTGGGAGGTTGATGTGAGTGGGAAGACCTACTGGGAGCTGGGGCTCACCTACCCGAGCATCCCACGCAAGGGCCGTGAAGAGGACTCCTGGTTGGGCCGAGGCAAAGAGTCTTGGTGTGTGGAATATTTTAATGGAGACTACACAGCCTGGCATGGGGGTGTCCCACATGAGCTGCCTATGCCGGCAGGAAAAAAGTTCAACCGCATTGGGGTGTGCTGCAGTTTCCCCGGTGGTTTGGTGTGTTTTCTAGGAGCTGACACCATGACGCCTCTCCATTGCTTTTGCACCGGAACGTTTACTGACACCTTACATCAGGCATTATGTCCAGGCCATGACAATGAAGGCACAAATTGGAAGTCCCTAAAGATCTGCGATGCATCTCGATCAGCTCCTGTTCTCTGAGGTGGGGCAAGAATACCTCGAGGGGCAGGGTAGATGGGGCAGAAATATCATGAATATGTTTGGCAGTGGGGCATGGGCATTACTTAGAGCTGTTTTATTTTAAATTATTACCTTCCTGCAAGCATTGGGACTGAGTACTGTACATGTCAGGCTAGTCTAAATTTGCCCTGGTGAATTCCAAAAGCATATCTTTCTTTTAGTATCTCTGGTCATGTGGCTCATACATGCTTTGCCCTATAAGTCGTACCATAAACCAATCAGATTTTAAGAAAGGTCTTTTTACCATGTCAAAGCATGTAAAATATAATAATAATTTGCCTTGGACTAAGCTAGATAAGCTATTTGATTATTTATTCAAGAAACTGATTTGTCCACTGTAAATGGGCATTTTTAGCTCAAAGTATTATAAGGGTGATATTTTTCTTACTGTGAGACAACTGCTAACGAAATACCTGACGTTGGTATGGTACAATCTATTCAGCATTTTTATTGATAAATGACAAAGTCAATACAAGTGACCATCATGGCTCTTAAAACTGTCATTTTTTACACTGAATTGTATCTTTTAGTCTTGATGTGATTGCTAGTCAACTAATTTGTGAATTGAACTCAAGCAATTACTGCAGATGGTGGTCATCATGGAGTACCCCAGGGATCTAATTTTGGGCAACTTCTGTTTAGATTAAATGATATTGCCTCCAAATGAGTTTTCATGTTTTGTTGGTAATACAATTTTATATTCAAACAGAAAAGCCCAAGTATACATGTAAAATTCTTTAAGTCAATCTCAAGGATGATTTGGTTTTAACCTAAAGCACTTATTGGTAAACTCCCTTTATACTCTTCTCTACAAACATCTTAAGCCATAAACCAAGACTTCAAAGTTTGGCCGCTATACAATAACAAGGTTAGAAAGGGATGGGGGAAGACTGGCTTTTCACTGCAACCATAATCTTTGGAGTAGTGTGTGAGAAATATGGGGATGGGGCATGGGCTCAACAGTTCGTATATGCAATTCTGTACGGTACATTTAATCTTAGAAACAGTTTTTAAATATGTTTATTCTATTTTGTTTTACTTCTATTGTTGCAGTTTATCTCTGGAACATAGATCTTGGTGAGTTCTCCTTGCTTAAATAAAAAGCAAAATAAAAAGTAAAAGTGTGTCTAAATTTGAGATAAATTTAAAACAAGTAAAAATTAACTTTAAAATGTTGTCTGTTAAAAATGTTAAAGAAAAATGACGCACAACTTATTACACAATAAATTCTTTATGTTTCATACAACAAAATGTTTACATAAGCATTCCTCTGTTTGAATATTTTTTTAAACAATGTATTGCCCCAAATAAAAAAATGGGCCAGATTATACTTTCATTGAAATTCATTCATTCATTTTTCCCAAATCGTTTTAAATATATTCCTGAGGACAAAAGCATTTACCCCAGAAAGCATTAAAAAAATTTACCCCTGAAAATACATTTTCCCTTCTTCAATTCCATTCCAAAACAAGTGGAGCAAACACTCCTTTCAGCACAGGTTGGGCACCACATCACTGATCAGAGATCCATGTGTTGAGACAATTCAAGACTTGTTGCTGTATTGGACAAGCGTAGAATGGTACATGTCTCTAACTTAGGCCAGTATTGGTTCCACTTCTGGCAACTATAAATGTTTATAGTGCTATCAAAAAATAATTTAAGAAAAAAGAAAAAAATACAAGGAGTAAAAAGTAAAAAATAATAATAATTATGACAAGCTAATATCTAGTGCTTAACTTTTCCCCTAAGTTACTGAAACATGCAATCAAGTGAAAAAAGTAAAAACATTGCAGCAACAATGATTGCGTATTGCGGACATGAGAATTGTGGATGTTCAAACTTGTTACCACCAGTAATAGCTGCCTCTGTGATTGACAGACTTTGGGACAAAATATCCACAGGTGCAGAAACAAATGTTTTGTAAATCTTGCATACCATTAGCAAATGTCTATTAAATAAAAAAAAAAAAATACATATTCTAGATGTTACTTTACACATCTTTGATACATCTTTTATTAATTTATTCTTCAATGTTGTTTTTAAAAAACTTAGCAAAGTGCACCATGTGCTTAAGAATTGTCTATCCAGGTAAAATTTATTTTTTCTTAATGATTTATTTTTTTCTTCTGTATTAATCAAAGGTTAATTTTAAAAATAAAATAAGGAAGAACTTGCTAGGTACTTTTTAAAACAGTGTAGTGTGTAATAACAGTGTACAACACTAATATACAGTGAAATGATGTGGCATTTGTGCTTTGGGTCGTGGTCCAGTTTAACACTATTATATTCCTCAAATGTTTTAACACAGCTTCAGACATTCCTTTTTGATGTTAATATTCTACAGCATGAACCCTATCGGTTATTAAAAATGATAAAGAGGAATGTCTAAATATAATAGTATGTAGGTTAAAAGAGGGATATTCAACTGATGTGCTGGACCCTGACTAGGAAGACAAGTGCATAATTCATGTCATTAAAAAAAATACATGAACTTCACTTACTCAGGGTTGTACAATAAGGTAAGTTTTTAACATCATGCTGAGAAAACTGAAAAATTAGAAATAAACTTTGTTTGAATGGAAGTGAACTATATAATATGCACTTGACCCAAAATCCCATATAACTATGAATACACAGCAAAAGATTACACCTTCCAAGCCATGTGATTAAGACATTCTTTAACATTACATTTACCCACTTCATGGGACATTAAAGAACCTGAGGATGCCAGCATAATGCTACCAACTTTAACTCTGCTAGGAAGGCTAGAATGGTCTTTCGTCTCTTATTTTTGACAACTGCAGCTGAAAACATTAAAACACAAATAGCTGAAAATGATCTGGTCCATTTTCCAGATGCAATACTTTTTGTTTTGTGTCGAACAGTGCACCAGACAGGGTTTTGCAATTAAGGCAGCTCCCTCCTGTTTGCTATGGCATTAAATGCCATAGGGTTTTCTTGACGCTCCATAGACTCAAATAGCCTTCACTTCAGCTGTTTATGTAAAAATGAATTGGGTTTTCATAATGATTAAAATGTCACCTGGTTTCCCATGTACTTTACGTACATGTATTGGTGACAGAGTATTTTTAAGAGTTTTTTTTTTTTAAAATTTTTACAGAAGCCCCAAGCGGCCTTTGGGTATGTATTCCTTTTCCTCGACTTTGTTTATAATTTATGCTCTTGTGAAAAATAAATTGTGCCTGTAAGATCATTTTTTAAAAAGTAAAAAAAAATAAAAAATTATATGGCCAAGGGAAACTGAATTGCCCCACTACCCTATTTTTCAAACATTCTTCAACTGTTTATACATGCAGAAAAAATACGCTTTTTTCCCTCTGCTGTGTCACAGATTAATCTTTTGAAGAGAAACTTAAAAAATGATGGCAAATTCCTATTTCTTCATTAATTGTTATGCCATAAAAAAATTATAAAGAAAACAACCTTAAAATATTTGTTTTCACACTTGCCACTCAGGGCTTCTGTAGCTTTGATCTTAGTCTGGAGAAACTTCTCTTAGCACTCCCAATGTTAAGTAGTTAAACAGAAGACTAAGAGCATAATTTGAAACTAAACTATCCAATTCTTTTCAAAGTCTATTGCAAGTGCTGGAAAATTCGACAGACGCATATTCAGATATGATTCGCTGAACCCACAAAAACTGGCAGCAAATTTTGCGGGCTAGTAGAACAACATGAATATTTAACAATGCCTGTCAAAAAGATTAGATCAAATGTGACGCCATTATTCTGAATAATAACCTGAAGAAGAGGAAGAAGTTTCACCACAACACATGAACGAGGAGTGCCACTGTAATATCTTTTTTCTCACAGAGTGCTTTTTTTCGGGCCCAACCACACATGCAAAGTGTCATATGTGCTCCAAACGTGCAATGTGCTGCTGGGCCTGAATCATCCCTGAATGCTTTGACTACTTAGTCGGTACCTGAAACGGTCAGTCAAGTCAGTCAGTCGGTCGGTCAGTCAGTCAGTCTTTGGGATCATACAGTACAGTTATTTAGGCTGGCGGTCAGTTGAAATAGAGTTCTTTGGTCAGCATTGAGACCACACATGGAATCTGCTTCTTCTCACTGAAGCGTGGATCTTCAGACCAGGACTCAAAGCTGGTGGCCACCATGTAGTTTACCCGTGTGAGGATCTGCATGATCTCCAATTGTTTGCCAAACTCATTGAGGACATTGCAAAGCGCTTGGACAAACCAGGAGCCACGCCCTGGGTTTCTCCATGAGTAATACCCTGGAAAATCAAAATTAATCAGCAGTGGAACAATGCTGTGTGTTTGCTCAAAGCAATGACACCACAGTAAAAATATATGCAACAAATAGAGACCTGAATACAAGTGTTAAGTACCTGGCACTGTGGAGTAGGCAAAGAGGAAATCTGCCTCCACAGGGATCTTATGTCTCGGATTAGCATCTGTCTCCAGGGTATCATTTGGTGGACCTGAATCTGTCTGTATACCATCATCAAATTCGGAACCCCGACAAGCCTGGTGAAGTAAATGAAATGACATTTCATTGTGATCCTGAGTAGCTTTCTCAACGATGACCTGGTGAAGCAATTAAAAATGTTCTGTTTTTAAAGGCTGCGATGGGCAAAACTGTACACAATTAACAATGAAATGTCCAATGGCCAGTTTGAATATTTCTTCTTATCAAAATAAGAGTTCCTTTTCTTGTCATTCAACCCCTTGGTTGACTGTTTGGGTCACAGGTTTCTAATTTGACACAAATAAATTGCAACATTACTTTACATACCTCCAGTACATTTTTCACATCACATGAGCAAATAGAAAAAAAATAATAATCAAAGTCTTTACGTCATAAATATTCGTACCTGGATGAAGAAGAGCTTTGGCTTTCCAACTAAGCTTTTGCACATGTCTCCCCTGAACAATGAGGTCATGGTCTTGATGGGCATGGCTCCATCTGTTCCGTAGATCATGCCCTCCTCCCCGTGGCTTAGCAGGATACAGGCGAAACACGAGCTGTCACTATGGTCTTCCTCCGAGGCTGACCCATACACACACAAAAACACACTCGTCGCTTAGCTTGGCCAAGGCCTCAATAAACTTGAAATTAGTAAAATATCTGGGAACCTTTGTTGCACTCTGGAGATGACTTAGCCCTTTAATCCTTTTTAGTCGGATAGTTTAGAATTAGGATGGAAATAAACTTCAAACTTCCCTTAATTTGATAAACAGGGAAACAGGGGTCAGTATGTTGGGTAGATGTCTCTGTTGATGAAAATGGCATTTGACAATGTACAGACTGACACATCTGAATGGTGATGTGTTTTGTTGAAACAACTAAAACCAGGTCTGAAAATGACAACAAACCACTGAAGTGTCACCGCTCATCCCCTCTGCTCTAGGGTCTCATTTATAAATCTTTCATACAATCAAAACGGGGTTCAGTTTCATACCACAAACAAATCGCAACGGAGTCCGAAAAAAGTGGACTGAGACCCATCTCTTCAAGCAGTCTCGGTACAGTTTGGTCTACACCAGGGTTCGATTGACAGCTTGCACACCGGGTTTTAACCAAACCAAACAGGTTAGGTTTGTAAACACCCTAAGATTCATCAGAGATACTCTATCTTTCAGTGTTGAGTTGATGGTCTTATTAAATAAAGAAACTTCACCTGCTGTCATCTTTATACCTCAATGATACGTGGGAAAAATGTATGCTGATTTGAAAGTATAGAGGCTATTAAAACGTCAGATCACATTGTCTTGAACTTTTAATGTCACCTCTCAGGTTATCACAAGTTCATAATACCTGAGAGGTGAGTTGTACATCATCTTTCCAGTGAACTTGAAGCTTCTCCGAACAGTGACGCCACACTGACACATTTCCAGCAACCTGGCTGGAATTATGCAACTGCCTTTCAAACTGCAACAAACCCACTTAAAAGGTAACTTAATCTATTGACTGTGAGTCCTTAACATCAGAGTTCAATAGCAAGCGACTCACTGAAGAGGAAGTTTTTTTTTTTTTGTTCACCTTACACGTTTTGACATTTCTTGGATTGGAAACTTTCAAACATCCTAACTTGTGTTGGATTCTCCAACCTCAGCTTTAACACAGCTTAGCAGCCCGAGCAGAAAAGTAAAAAAAGTGAACATTAAAACTGTCAAGGAGTTTGGTTAATTGTGCACCACTTGATTCGACAGTTAGGTGAACCTGATAAATTGGCAGTTACAGCAGAGTTAGAACCAGTTTAACGAGGGAGACAATTCTTGAAGATGTTTCACCAAGGCCATTTTGGTTAAACTCAGCCTTAGTTTTGGTCATTAGGATAAGTTTTGGCTTCCTACTGTTTCCTACCTTCACAAGGAGCAAGGAAAGTATGATAATGACTGAGGTGTTCACTACTCACCCTCTCTGAGGAGACGTTCCATCTTCTCACAAGTCTGATCGTTGTAGATGCAGACATCAAAGCCAAGGCTCTTGAAGCATTTAATCAGCTCACCTGCGTCTCGGTCCGTGCCATTGCGTACATTCATCCCTGTCAAGACAATCTGCTCAGAATACACTCTCTTTGTGTAGTAATATGGAGCTAAACTGAATAAGTGGTTTAAAATGTTTGCTGTACCTGTCTTTTCATCAAAGTTTTTGTTGTTGATGATGATACACTTGCCCACTCGTTGGTGGCTCATCTTATACTGGAATGTTGGTGAAACAATTCGGTAATGGCTTTCAGAAGAGTAGTCCTGCCCCCGCATCTGGCCATCCTTATTCTTCTTACTAAAAGTCAGAGACACTGATGTTAATTATTGATGGTACCATTGATTTAAACTACAATTTACCAGTCCACCTCATCCATAATGTATTTTCAACTTAATGCAAAATGTTTTATGTCTATTTATATTTTTAGAGACGTCTAATTCTTCCTATTAAGCAGATGTATGGAAAACACACAGCTCATATCCATAAATATTTAAACATAACTGGCTTCAGGACCATACACCAAAAACACAGACACCAAACAACTATTATATAATAATGCAAAAACGATGGGAATGAAAATAACAAAGAAGAAAAACTAACTGGCAGGCCATTCCAAACTAAACATCATTGATGCTATTCGTTAGAAAAAAACATACTTATCATCAATTGGCCAATAAGCCTAAGAAAATATTCTTGAATCTTAGATTGCATGAGAACGCTTTTAATACAACCACACTTAGCATTCCATCAATACGGGTAAATATAAAGACTTCTACACACAAGAACACTAATGAAACTGAAAACACTCTGAATCACTTACTCAGTAATCAAGCGGTACATACATGGTCAAATAAGGCATTAAAGTCACAGCCAAATTTGGTTTCAGTAATCCACCAACGTGTAATAGAAGACACTAAAACATTTTTCCTTAGCATAGGTAATAAAAAAAATCATACTCGCATCGATGTAGATTGAGCAAGAGGAAATCTTCCACGCGTGGCAAATCTCACACACCTGTCATATTTCCATTCTTTAAAGGATCCATCCAGATAGCTAAGCCAACAGTGGCCCATTGGGGGCTTCAAAAATCTACGCTTGTTCCAGAAGAGCCTAGTCATCAACTTACTCAGGCATGGGAACAATAGACAGCAATGCACACCAACAGTTCCATGCACACACACACACACAGCCCAGCCATCCTTTTTCTAATAAACATGTGATCCAGAACTTTTTCCAGCCCCCCTCCCACCTCCAAATTGTGCCAACACACTGTAACCAAACAATTGTGGAGGCTAGGCAAAGAGCTGCAACTCTGTTTTGCTGCGGGCTGGGCACAGCAGAAAGAGGAGCAGGTTGGGGGTCTGTTAAGAAGAAAATGAAGCTGTTATGCAAGACTTACCTGGGTTCGTCATTAAGCGCTACGCCACTCTGCATCTGAAATGCGTTGGTTTAGTCTTGTTTTTCTGTTATCCCCCAAAAGAGTATGTTCCTCCAGACCTGGCACCTTATTTTTTACCTGTGTGCTAGGATACTGACATGCTCTCTGTACTGGATGGAGACCTGACTGGGCCAGCAGGTGCTGAGGACAGGGGCGGCGCACTGTGAGCCCCCTGAGTCAGCAGCCTCGCCACCACACCAGTGCTTTCTAAAGGCCTATTCACACACAGCCCCAGCACCCCACTGCCTGCTGAGGTCAGACAGGGCAACAAGTTGCTCCTCTGCTGACAGGCACAGAATCCACCTGTAGGCATACACATACTGAGGACCTACAGGCCTCCTTCTGGGATGGATGTACAAGACAGGGTTCTTATAAAAAATAAAAAAAACACTAATGACTGAAAAAAACATTTTAAGGACAAAATGTCATTTTTGAAATCTCTTGATTTTTTCACTTTTTTTAAAGCAACTTAAAAAATTTAAAAAAGCCAAAGAAGTACCGACAATCATTAAGATATTATCCTCAGTCACTTTAGAAGAGGACATCCATGGTATAAGAGCCAACACAAGTCAATCTGTTGTTTGGTCCAGTCTTTCACTGATGACTGTGCTGATGTTACTTTAGTGTCCCTTTTATTCCTTGAATCAGTTTGATTTATTTGATTATGCCCAGGTATTTAATGGTCTTAATAAATTCAGCGGTGATGCTGAACACGATACCATTCCTTAGACCAGACACACCATATCTTCTTAACATTAAAGGTATGCCTACTTCTGAGGATCCTATCTATTTAAACTATTTTGCATTATTTTTGTTATGTTTTTATTTTATTTTTGTAAATAAGAATTAAAAACTGTCCAATGTTATCCTGGAAGTTCAGGGTAAAAAAAACTCATTGTCACACAGAGCAGAGCAAACAGGTACCTGACGACAAGTTTCTGAGATACATTTTCCTCTCCTACAAACGTCCACAGTGCCACCTTGTGAGTCACAGTGGAATACACTGAGGATTCACAAAGTCAGTAGTAGCCCACACTTTTAAGGGACAAACGGGACAGAAAACAAACTGTATGATAACACACTGAGCTCATGCAACCATTATATCAGACTCTGTTGTAAAGCATCTAATTTTGAGCTAACACTTAAGGACTGACATCAGCCCCACGTTGCTTTCACCTGCCTTGCCCTGTATTATTACCTAGGTTATTTAAAACTGGGTTGCTATGGGTTACATTGTTATAACTTTCGAAGTTGAATTTAGGATTAAGGAGAAATAATGTCACTTTCATGTGCAAAGTGGATTCTACTCAAAAAGTACTGATGTTTATAAAGGTCTTTATTGTTTCTTATTGTAATTAGTGATTAAAATACATTTAAATAAATACCTGCACTGCATTAGAGTAATCAATTACAGATACTATGAACAAGCTTAGAGAGAAATTCAGTTTAGAAACACTCTGCAGCATATACGATTGCAAATTACAGAACAAATCCAAATCTGTTGTGACATATAAAAAAGGATCTTCTTAAGGCTGAACAATTATCGAAAGACGGCAAGAATCTTTCTCAGAATTATAACCAACACTGACAACAGAAGATTAACTTGAGCTTTCCTGTATTGCTCCAGTTTTCAAACACTGAATGTTAAGGGGATGATAATAATGAATGTGAACCCTACAGTAAAACATTACTCTGCATTAGTGTTTTATTATTAGTGTGTGTGTGTGTGTGTGTGTGTTTTCTGATGTTTTGGACATGTTACCTCCCAAACAGAAGAAATCTTCCTCTGCGGTCAGGTTTGGCGTCTGCCTCGTCTCCCACCAGCTTCCCTTCATCTTCTTGAGCAGTGAGTTCAGTCGGCTCTGCAGGTTCTCCAGCCATCTGTTGTAAAGATTTGGTTAATTCAATGTACAATTCAATTTGTAAGAAAGAACAACAACTACGACATGGGATACGTTCACATTATTTTTACGGACAAGCGTTTCCTTCTCTAACACTACTAACTTACACACCGTTCAAATGGATAAAACAGCTGTATGTACACACAGCTAGCCTGGCTTTTAAGAGCAAGCTAGTTAGCCAACATATACTACTTGTTAGCTTAGTGTCTGGTTAGCGGAGTTACAGGAAAATACTCCACAGTGAACATTACACTATATACTGAAGCCAGCATTATTAACTCACACTCTGTTGTTCTTGTGTTATGCTGAGTCAGCTTCAATTCTGCAAAAAGTCTGACAGGGTAGTTTTTTTTTGGTCCTTCTCTAAAGTTTCTGCCGACTTTCTATTCCTTCAAAAAACTTAAGAAAGCGAAAGTACGTCCTGCGTCATGTCTCTGAGGTGCGTCGCTACGTCAGAGCCCTGCGTCACACAGGTCGGCTAAGTTTTACTCATAGGTTTTACTGCAAGTTTGACATGAGATAACTTGTCCCTATCACATCATTCTGCTCCCTTTTCAGATATCAATAGTTCAGTTGTTGTTAGTTATCATTTTTTATTTAAGATAGGCCTTTCTAATATGAGAAACAATTCTTTGAATATCCAAATTACATTGTGATTAAATAATTACATTAAAAATGTGAAATGTTTAATTCTCCTAGAAAAATGATTTCTTACTACTTAGATAGCAATTAGAAATATATATAAAGTCATTCTTAGTAGCAGAAATTGTAGGCTATTTAAAGATATCTTAAACTTTATTTCTTCTTGTCGAAATTTGTTAGCCTATCTTTTAATCCTTCAAAAGATCTACAACTTCATTCTTTCTGAATAAACCTTCTGGATATCTGTAATAGAGCATATATCAGATATCTACAATCCAGTTGTTTCGATTCATTATTTAAATTTTGGATATTTGACATTATGGATATCTTAAATTATTTGTCTTTTTGTATATATAAATTAAAAACCATGACTAGTAAATTTATTTTAAATATATGAAATTTGAGATTAATTTAGCAGATAACCATAATTTTAATTTCAAATATCCAACATGAACAACAAATCTATATCCATAATGTCATTTTGAGTACCCAAAATACAATCGAAGTGTGATAGCCTAATTGATTTCTCAAATATAGTTATTGATAGGAGTGTGTTTGCTTGACTATTAGTTTTACAACATGTTGTAACGGTTTAAAAAAAGACAGTCAGTGTGTAAGAACAGCTTATATTTTGCTAGACTGCTTTATTTAGTATATACTCATGTATGATCTCTGAATGCGTCACAATTACTGTCAGCATTAAAGAAGTAACAATGAAAAAAACTGCATTCAACTTTTAATGTTAATATTTCTTCATTTATTTCCTTATATTCCTGTCATCACTTCTGTAGCTTTTTTCACAAGTAAGTCAAGAGCTGCTTAAATACTGAAATCATTTTCTTTTTATGTGTCATTATACCTTCTTGATAAAGTTGAGTCTTTATGTCGTAGTGTCATGACGAGGTGAAGTTGACCTAACCGTCCAACTGTGGATCATTACACATATACAGTGACATTTCAACTCTGTCTGTCTCTCTCTGTGCAGATAGACAGCTGGACTCAGCCAGTCCTCTCGCATGCTCCATGGAGGGGGTTGGTCCATAATGGGACATGGTGTCAAGTAAGAGTCAGTTCATAGTCACAGAGCTAAGTTTACCTCCACCAGAGACGCACTACACTACTGTCTGGGAGTCACTGGCCGTCTCTCTTCTAAACTGAAGCCTCTCTGCCTGACTGACCTGACTCTTGTCTTTTGCCGACTTTCCCACTTGTTTTTTTACACAGGTCTTTTGATATTTTTTAAAAACATTTTGGAGAAAAGGACAAACATCCATCATGCAGTCCTGTGCCAGATGTGGGTTTGTGGTCTACCCCGCTGAGAAGATCAACTGCATTGACCAGGTAACACGTAGAGATATTGTGGAGACAGTTTCCACATCTTCCATCGTCACTTTTTGACAGTCATTCCCAATAATTTTGATCCGATTTAGAACTAACAAGAAAGTTAGAGTTCCCAATTAAGTATAGTACGTTATAAATATTCAAAATAACTGAGGGGATTGATTGTATGTTTCCAAATCAACTTTTTTTTTACTCAAAACATTCAAAAACATGTAAAATGTTTGTCAAAATCTGTAGTCCACAAATATATGATAACTGTTAACATCAATAGCAAGTGATTTACCATAGAAAAACAGAAAAACCATACAGCCAACATTTAAGCCAATCTAATAGTATAAAATTGATTGTCTTTTTCTGTATACAATGCAAAATGAAGTTACAATAAGAGTAGTTTCAAGGTAATGCATCATCTACTTAAGAACTGCTAGTGATAATAGAACAATTATATAAAATAACTTTTTTACAAAAGTATTCAACAGGCTATGGATCAGAACACATTTTGTACAAAACTAATAGTGTTTATTTCCACATAGAGTTGACTGTTGAAGTACGTGCTATTGGTCACTTGTCATAAGATTTTGGGATGAGTGAAAGCATGAGATGTACAAATTAACGCTGACCTACATGCTATATTAGAGGGTCAGCAAATTCTCTTAAAAGATCAAGCTTGATTGCCACCTTTATTTTGGTCCTTTGGATTACCTGGCACTTTTTGTCGACATAGGAAAGATTAGGATACTTTTTTTTTAATGAATTCTGAGCTTGGAATTGAGTTTTTAAGATCCTTGTGTGTTTTGTATTTTTTTGTCCTTTAGAACTGGCATAAAGCATGTTTTCACTGTGATGTCTGTAAGATGGTCCTCACTGCCAATAACTTTGTGAGCCACAAGAAGAGGCCATACTGCTCTGTGTAAGTAATGGACACAAAAACACCTGACGATATATTGTGTAATCTTTAAAAAAAGAGGTAGTTTTTAAGTTACTCTTGTTTCCATGAGCTCAAAATTGATGATTAAAATGATAACCAATATTACATCCCATCACTGCAGGCACAATCCGAGGAACAACACATTCACAAGTGTCTATGAGACCCCCGTCAACATCAATGCAAAGAAGCAAAGCAAGGCCAGCAGTGAGGTAAGATGATGTCATATGCAAGAAAAGAAAACACAAGTGGCAACGTGAAACCAAATATTTCAGCCTTGATCCGCGTAAAGGTGCATTGTTGACAGGCTGACATAAGTAACTGTCTATGCCATGACTGAGTTGAACATTAATCATGGGATGGTCATGACTGGCTTTACACTCAATATGCTATTCATAGTGGTCATTGTGTTACTTTATATATTTAGGACTATAGTTCACAGAGAGTGATGCATGCATTGCAATTCAATCAAAGTAGATCAGATTTTGTATTAGTGCACAAACCGTCTTATTTTGAAAAAAAAAGAATAACCTCAAATTTCAAACGTAAAAATTTCAAGATCTGACTCAAAACTGAGTAATCTTTTTTTATTTTTTTGTAAAGCTCTTATTCCTCTTTATTGGTTGGAAGATAGAACTATGGACGGCTGCTCTGAGTCCATGGTGACGGTAGCAGTGAGGAATGGAGATTGTGGCTCAGGTTATTTCTGTTCCAGTGACCGAGACCAGACAACCCCCTTTGGCTTAACTAACTTTATACTTCAGGGGGCTAAAATTATACATCAGGAAAAACAGCCCTGCATCCCTTCCTCTCCCTGCCACCTGCTGCTGCCTGTCTGTGTCTACCAGCTCATGCAATGCCCTTATGCTTATATTAGCAGTAGGCTAGCAAGCTCATCAGCTACTGCTGTGTCGTACTTTGCAAGTTGTAGGACTTAACGTGTTGATATTTGATCTGAGGGCAGACATTAGACCACGCTGAGTGACCCTCCATCCTGTTCAGGGTCTTTGAAAATATGATATGGCAGCATGATAACATACAGAGTTTTTGTTTTTTTACCAGTTTTCTGGGAATATTAGTTTTCAGTGATGCTATTGGGTTAGGGGCTAGCAGGGGGTCTGCTCTGGTTGATAAATAGACTGCTGTGTTCCAGGTTATAAATCATATACATTTAGGGTATTTGACAAATCAACATTATTTCACCTCTGCTGGAGTGCTCAGCAACTGAAAAGAGAGAGATAATTTTTTTTTTGAGGTTTAAATAGCATATTTGATGACATGTAACCAAAAACAGCAAACATGTGCATCCAGCACTAGGCTATCTATAACATTGTGGTTAGCCAAGAAGTGGCTGAAGGCTAACCCTTTGTTAGTATACCACGGTACATTAGAATAGGTGTAATTTCTAGTGTTACCTAGGAAGTTAATAGCTATTGATATGTGGAGTAGAATTTAACCTCCTTGCAAACATAATGTTAGCAAGGAAGTAGTTGAATGCTAGCATAAACTGTTGTTTAAGGGTAACAAAAGGGTAAACAAATATGAAGTTTTACCTTCAAATATAACCCAAAATACAAATCGCTTTCCACTATAGTCTATCAGTTGTCTTTTCAGTTGCCTATTGAGAAATGCTGAGATGCTGATGATATAAGAGATAACATATATATGACCCACAACTAATAGTGAAGTTCAATTTATGATGGCAGAGGAAGATAGTAGCTGTGTGAATATGGTGAGTGTCTATCGCCCTGTTGTCTAAATATGGTCAGTCACGGATCAAAAGAACGAGATGACAGAGATATCTCAGTAAAATCCAGCGCCTTCAAACAACCCAAAACGCAGCAGCCCAGCTTTTAACTGGAACAGAAATGTGCCTATATAACCCCAATTTTGGCATCCCTTCAATTGCACCCTGTTGGTTTCAATACTGATTTTAGATCATTTCATACATTTTAAGTGACAACATGGGCTGACCCCTCCCTGTATTTCTGAGATCGTCTGGCAGAGCTCTGTTGGCTGTTCCAGTTCAAATTCAACGCTGAAAACAAAAGGGGACAGGCTTTTGCTGTCAGAGTCCACAGACCTGCCAGAGGAGATCAGACTCTCAGAGTCTTAAATAGTCTAAAAACATTCTTCTACATCAAAGCTTTTTACTCTGATTTCATTGATTTCATTTATATTTAAAATCTTTTATTCTAGGTCTGTTTTTATTGCTTGTTTGCTTTTATTGTCTGTTGTCTGAGTACTTCACCTGTATTGAAAATGCTATACAAATAAAGTATTATTATTATTATAAGGTTCAAAACTGAAGTTTTCATGTGACATGCCTTTGGCTATTTCTCTTTTTTGTATAGTCTTTAGTTTTAAGCCCTTAATATAATGATTGTCAAGAGAAGCGACCCTTATCCATTGCAAAACAGCTATTCCAAAATGACTGTGTTATTTTAACAGCTGAAGGATCATTGCCAAACAGCTCAAAGTTTCATCACTCAGTGCTCCATTCTAGATCCTTCCTGGCAGG